ATATAGAAGTGCATTCTGAGAGTTCTTGCAGTTATTCCAGTTAGTCAGTAACTCCTGGCTTAGATAACAAGCTCCAAATGATTTTTGGAGTTAGCAACACAGCAAGTAACTTCAACCTTACATGTATGTTTCTAGCGGCTATAGGCTGAGTATCTGTTTTCTGGACCTTTCCAAAGCCTTTGATCGTATTGGTCACAATGTCTTGATCACAAAGCTGATAAACATAGGAGTCAGGCGATCGCTAATTCCCTGGATTATTAACTTTCTATCAAATCGTCGTCAGTATGTAAAAGTAGAACGAACAATATCGCGGTGGTTGCCTGTTAATGCGGGAGTCCCACAAGGAACAAAGTTGGGACTGATTTTGTTTCTGATAATGATAAACGATTTAAGAATTCCTTTGCAGAAGGTAATGTCTTGGAAATATATGGATGATGTATCTGCATCTGAGGAGCTTTATAGAAATGCTATTTCCAATTTTCAATCTTGCCTTGATGATATTAATTCCTGGTCTTTGTCTAACTGGATGAAACTTAATGTAAAAAAGTGCAAGGAACTACGAGTGTGTTTCCTTAAAGAGAAACCACATTTACAACAGTTGCAGCTCGATGGAAAAGAACTGGAAGTTGTTACGTCCCATAAAGTGCTTGAAGTGATTATACAAAATGACCTGAAATGGAATGAACAAATAAATGCTATTGTCTCCAAGGCCTCAAAACGTCTACATATATTATGAGTATTGCATTGCAGTGGTCTCCCTGCTCAAGACCTTCTTGCTATTTATCATGCTATTGTACGATCTGTCCTGGAATATTGCTGCATAGTATGGAACCACGCCATCCCTAAGTACTTATCTGAAGAAGTTGAACGTGTCCAGAAACATGCTTTGTGGATTATTTTTATGAGGGGTGATTCCTGACATAATTCAACATGTATATTATGCAATTAAATTACGCATTTCACTATGACACATTGCATTCTGATATTCTGTCTCGTATTTCATTATGCTTCGCGAACAAGATTGGCACCTTGCATTATACTACGGAAACACGCATTTCATTATGACACTGTGTATTTCGATATTCGATTTCGTATTTTATTATGCTCGCGTAACATTCGGCATGACGCTCAGTGGACGAATTTTGGTATTGTCACGTGCAATACTGGAACCAAGTTCATTACTATGCAAATTTTCGCGCTATTTTTGGTTTTTCACAATATCAGTATGGCGAACGATCCGGAAAATGTGAATTGTGCTATGAGTCTTCTTCGCGAAGCCACAGCCGTACTTGCTCAAAACAGTGCACCTTCTAACGAAACCGGCAGATCTGAGAGCGGGACTCCTACAACTACAAGTAGCAATGTTGCTATAAGCACATCATCGTCGTTTTCAATGCCAAACACAAGGCCAAGCAGTTCGGGCAGTCATCCCTCAACAAGTGACGCTCTGAGTAAGACCACCTTACAAGAAAGTGTGTAGAAGAAAGGGTTTACAAAGCAGAAGGAAGAGAAGAGAAACCACATTTACAACAGTTGCAGCTCGATGGAAAAGAACTGGAAGTTGTTACGTCCCATAAAGTGCTTGAAGTGATTATACAAAATGACCTGAAATGGAATGAACAAATAAATGCTATTGTCTCCAAGGCCTCAAAACGTCTACATATATTATGAGTATTGCATTGCAGTGGTCTCCCTGCTCAAGACCTTCTTGCTATTTATCATGCTATTGTACGATCTGTCCTGGAATATTGCTGCATAGTATGGAACCACGCCATCCCTAAGTACTTATCTGAAGAAGTTGAAGTGTCCAGAAACATGCTTTCTGGATTATTTTTATGAGGGGTGATTCCTGACATAATTCAACATGTATATTATGCAATTAAATTACGCATTTCACTATGACACATTGCATTCTGATATTCTGTCTCGTATTTCATTATGCTTCGCGAACAAGATTGGCACCTTGCATTATACTACGGAAACACGCATTTCATTATGACACTGTGTATTTCGATATTCGATTTCGTATTTCATTATGCTCGCGTAACATTCGGCATGACGCTCAGTGGACGAATTTTGGTATTGTCACGTGCAATACTGGAACCAAGTTCATTACTATGCAAATTTTCGCGCTATTTTTGGTTTTTCACAATATCAGTATGGCGAACGATCCGGAAAATGTGAATTGTGCTACGAGTCTTCTTCGCGAAGCCGCAGCCGTACTTGCTCAAAACAGTGCACCTTCTAATGAAACCGGCAGATCTGAGAGCGGGACTCCTACAACTACAAGTAGCAATGTTGCTATAAGCACATCATCGTCGTTTTCAATGCCAAACACAAGGCCAAGCAGTTCGGGCAGTCATCCCTCAACAAGTGACGCTGTGAGTAAGACCACCTTACAAGAAAGTGTGTAGAAGAAAGGGTTTACAAAGCAGAAGGAAACATGGACGCACAAAGTCTTGTCTGGGCAGTGTTGACGAACAAGCGACGCCAACACGGGAAAGAAAGGATATACTTCAACATGCAGGCTTGGGAAGAAGCAAGATCAAATTCTACGCCAATGCCAATGCTATTGATTTTAAGGAAAAATTGGAGGAAGTGTTTCCCAAACTTATTTTAGGCCGAGGATTTGAACTGTTAAGACACGGTCCATCAGGAAATGGTTTAGTTCTCATTCGCCAACCAGCCAGTGGATATTCCGTGAAGTATCTAAGAGAGTCATCCGGTATAGGGCAAGCATTGCTGTACATTAGGCCATTACAAATGAACCTGGATATGTCTCCAGAAGATCTGGATGATACAGAATTTGACTCAGAGGTGAGACAAAGTGTGATGAAACAGGGAGGGGGCTAGGTGGGGAGGCATACGGTGTCATACTCTATATTTCTATATTTCTGGGGGAGCATGCCCCTGGTGGCCCCTAAAGTTTCTCTAGCCACCCTCCAACCAACAAAACCAATCTTTTGACACCATTACATGAGCACAATGTACACACTGCTGTCCCACACTGGAAAGTAGGCCACTTTAGCCCGAGATCTGCGGCAGGCTAGCTATTTTGTAATACTTATTACTAATAAGTTTCTGTTATTGCGGCAGTTCTCCTGCGGCAGCTTGTTGGTGCTTTTTACCCAGGCTGCTGTCTGCAGCTGAGAGGTTCAGATTATTCATGCTTGTTTAATTGAGGATTTATTGATCCTGGCCCCTTCTCCAAAGCAGCTCTCTGTTGGCGAGGAGGCCCAATAAAGCAGGGGGGGGGAGGGTATTATTGATTTGTGTTATGGAAAATTTTCTTGATTCTTGTGATATTTCATGTTTATGTACAGGCAGTGGAAGAGGCACCTAAAGTGTGTTGTATCAACTGTAACATAAACATCCCAGTTTCATTGATACGGAGTCATCAAGCAGAATGTAATGGGTGAGTAAAAGTACATTACAATGCACTTGTTATAGGGAAGGCATAGGAAGAATTACAGGCATGTACAGTAGATTAAACTTAAAGGACAAGATTTATACAGATAGTTAATAATTTACTTATTTAGATGAGGATTTCCAGCGGATTCCCAGCTTCAATCGGCTTTAGAAAATGCCAATTTCAACTTGACTAGTGCAACAGAGATAATTTTAGGACAAGGAGGTTAGCTATTATAATTTAATTTGAAAATCTAAAAATAGTATACAAAACTCTGTATAAACCCTCGTGCTACCCTACGAGGTGCATTCCATGTTAATTGTTGATGCCATGGTTTTAGATTCTGTAAATATCAGTTCATCAGACTCAAGTGACGTGGAGACAGCACTGGACAGCAATCTCCTTACTCCAATTGTTTTGTGTGAAGATAGAGAAGTCTGTGATGACACTACAACTTCACTACCCAACAAAATAAGGTTATTCAAAGAAAACACAATTGCCGCCAATTCACCTCGTCAGTTGTTCTGTGTATGCAGAAGTGAAGGTGTTGAACAATTAAAGCTTGACATCTTGGGTGTATACAAGAACCCCAACACAAATTTAACAGCAAGACTGAGGGTCCTTTTTGAAGGGGAAGAAGGAGTGGGAGCAGGCCCTGTCAGGGAATTTCTATTCTCAGCAGTTAAGCTTGTAGAAGATGGCATTGATTTCCCCATGAAGCCAATCATTTATTTTGAAGGCCAAGATGACCATAAAGTTCCTGTCCACAACCAAGCTCTAAGGCAAACAGGAAGCTTTAAAGCAATTGGACGGATCCTTGCTCATGCATTCCTGCACGATGGCCCATGTTTGGGAGGTCTGTCCCCAGCAGTGAAACATTACTTTACATGCAAACAAGGTCAAGACACAACAGTGAACACACCACCACTGGAGATAATGGATGTTCCGGATGTTGAGCTTCAAGCAATATTAGAAGAAGTAAGCTACTGTAACTAAACTTACTATAATTTATGGATTTGTCATTTGTGAGGACAGACAGGGAATTGGCAAATGGGGGGTTTAAAATTTTCCATCTGTCAAGTCCCCCATCCCATTTGCCAATGCCCTTCCCTATAAATAATGACCACTCCCTTACAAGCAACAGATACCCTGGAAAAATTCGGTCAACATGTACTGTAGCTCTATTCCCTAATGTAAGGGTCTTATTTAGGGTTACATAGTACTTGAAGATTCTAAGTGTTGAAATCCTAAAACAATGGTACCAGTAACCCTTGAACTCTATCGTATAATTATTTGGAAAAAAAAAGAACAATATGGTGACAGTACACATTTAAGATGTACAATAAAAGGCATAACTCTGAAATAACCTCCTCCACAGGCCGTAATGAATTCCCTAATTTTGTAAGGCAGAGTATGCCCATTTGCAGGTCTGGCCAGAAGTTTGAATATTGGTACTCTTAAAATTTAATAATATAGGTATATTATAATTTTTCTCATAGGTACTGCAGTCACCCAGGCATGAATCTTTACCAAATAGTCTTGTCTCAAATCTGGTTCCATACCTTATCGAGGCTGGTATTGATATAGAACTATTACACTCTAGCAGGGAAATTGTTGTTCAAGGCCTTCTTCTGTTTTTTGTTATTGAGAAGAGAAAGTTGGAACTTGATGACATTTCAACTGGTATGTTAAGTGCAATCAGATATCCTATTAACCTATCATACTTGCTTGAGGAGAAAAGTGTTTGAGATTACACAGGGTTATTGTACAGTAACAACAAATTACTGTATGTATCACTGGAGGATTCTTGTATATACATATGATTGGTTAACCATAGCTATCAAAGGGGAGAGGGCCATGGTGGGAATTTGCCCCGTCCCTGAAAGATCCCTGGGAACATTTTACCCTTGGATTCGCACCATATTTCAAGGCAATGAATTCAATTGAATGTATTTATGACTTTTAGACTTCTCTTCTTCTTTAAGGATGACCTCCCAGGTCTAACTATCATGTCGCAACCTCCATGTCTTGTCACTCCGCCCCCTTTGAGGTCCCCAGTTCTACAACACTGTTACTTAATACTACACTACTGTTTTACACAGGAATGCAGACAGTGGGTTTGAAATCATTTATTGAAACTAACCCTGAAGTTATCAATCAGCTTTACCCAACAAGAAAGGATTGTAATATTTATGCACAAGAAGTGAAAGACAAAATTGAATTCAGTGATGATGAGAAACTGGAAAGGAATGCAAAGACAAAGGACTTCTTTTTTTCAGTATGTAGAGCTGCTTGAAAATAGGAAAGAAGGTACATACCACACATACCATATTGGAGGGTGTTACAACAGGGTTGAAAAAGGAGAGTCACTGGGATTAATGTGATTAATTGTCCATGTTTGACGCTTTAAGTGGCAATGCGCCCTACTTTAGTATTTCTACTCTGGCTAACACCAGATTTTACTTGTCAATGGAAAAGCGCTGCCACTCAATTGGTTAAATCATATATAACTACATAAAATTTTAATTCATACCGGTATCATGCACAATAATCTACATTAACAGTATTATTGTCTACATTACAGGTACACAGTAAATTACATCAACGTACAGTATATTACATTTTTGTACATTTACTTTTTACAGATGGTGCAGAACTAGTCGATTTGTGCTGCTTCTGGACTGGAAGTAATATGTTACCTCCTCGATCACAAAGGCTGTATGTTTCCTTCAACAAAGATGGTAGCATTGTACTGCCTATGGCCGAGTGCTGCTTTTTTAGTTTGGTATTGCCAGTGAAACATACAAATTTTGAAGAGTTCACTGAGTTTATGGACAAGGCTCTAAAGTATGGTTCGAGTGGGTTTTGTTTTTCATAAAATTATTCTGTCTTCAAACGACATAACTCATAATGCACATATACTTTGCTAGTGACAGATTATTTCTAAATGTTCTTGTTTTTGTTGTTAATTGGTTTTTATGTTAAGATCAGGTTTTAAATTAAGGTGGCTACCTACACTTTTTAAAAAAAGGAAGATTTTCTGATTTGGACATGAATTTCTGGACATTAATTATTTGTTGAAAAAAGCAATAACTAAGGAGTTCGGAGATTTTAAAAATGTCCTCCTAACAGCCGTTTCTATGGCAACAATGACGTTTCAATATGGCAGATATTTTTGGTTTAAAGTAATTGAAACTCGAAAATATTTTAAAATTCTGTCATGCCAAAATTTTTCAAAATCGGACAATGTAATAATTCGTAACAATTTTTTTCGCCTGACAGATTTTTTTAAAAATAGGTACGCATTGCATACATGTGGGTAGCCGAAAGTTAGACAAAAAATAGATACAAACTAAGCAGGCTATAAAACTAGTAGACAGATCCAGAAGTATTATATATATATATATATATATGTATATATATGTATATATGTGTACATGTGTGTGTATATGTGTGTGTATATGTGTATATGTATATATGTATATATGTATGTATATGTATATATATGTATATGTATATATATATATATATATATATGTATATATATATGTATATATATATGTATATATATATG